CAACTGTCTGTCTCCTCAATTCTCAAGCGGCCATCAGCGTGAGTCAAGGGAAAAGCAACCTTGCTTGTCATATGTTGTACACGCGTGGCAGCGACCGATCAATGTCTTGCAGCCATCATGAGTGGAGTTTGTGAGCGTCCTGTGAATCACATGGTGCTTTCGCAGCCACTGCTGTCCCGCCGTTAGCAGGGACACATCACTGCCCACTTCTTCCAAACCAACGAATGTCCATGGCTTGCGCTTCCTGCCTTTGGCTGGCTGCCACAAGCTCAGCCATCTGTGCACAGCTGAAGCTTAAAATCAAATTCAAGCCTCCAACCCAAGAATGCAAATGTGATTTGAATAAAAAGCCAACGAAACGGATAGCCAGGATTATATTCAATTATATTCAATTATAATACCGTCGTCCGAGGGAAGCAAAGACTATCAGCTGAAAAATAAATGCGGCAATAGGTGTGTCAAATTCGAACCTAAGCCGCTATAACTAGGCTAACAAACACGAATGTATCTAACAGAAAGGTCTACTGCAACGGGCTTAAGTTTGAATTTAAAATCCATTAAGATTTGAAAACCAGACAAATTCATAGGCTAAATGGCAGGCATTAACTCATGACTCCACTCCTCGCCTTGGAGTAAACATTGGCGGCAAGTGCTGCAGCTGGCAGCTGGACCAACCACAGCAAAGGCCCAAACCCGAAGAGTCCTCAACTAGCCCACAGGATGCCCAAACTGTCAAGACAGTAAATTCTGCAGCTTCCAACATAACATCATCTTCGCCTCCTTCGAGAGTAGCTGTGATTGTGCAAAGGAATCTATGCACACCGCTTATCAGGATTAGAGTAGGAAGACCCCAAGTCCGAGCCCTGGTAAAAGAAACATGGACCAAAACTAAACCCATTGGCCACGGGATCTCCTAAGTCTGCTGCAGAGTTTGGTAGGAATTGAATTCCTTACCTTGTCGGTCCAATCCCCAATGGCACGAATTTATTTGAGATGTCTGCCATGTCTACAGCCCCTTTTAACAAAACACCCGCAACGCGGCAACAAGAACCACACTTCAAATCCAAGGTGCCAGTGAAGCTCATTGTCGTCACATCCATTGCCACAGCAATAGCGGGATTAAAAGTGGTGTTGCCAGTCAAATTGCCTGCGAAAACTGCTTCCACACGAGGCTTCAAACAAATGCATCCTAGAAACACGGCACGTTTTTGAAGCCAGTAGTTGGAACCCACCTGCTCCATAGGCACCTGCTAGCAAACACAAGCCCAGGGCCATAGCACCATTTTCCATTCTCTCCTGCGAAGGAGAGGATGAAAGCTTCTGCTGCTACCAAGCTGGACCCGCTTTCCTTTTCAGGACGAATGGATCCAACATCTACATAAAGAGAGTTGCAAGTGCGAAAAGCATGGCCAGTCCAAACGCGATTCTGACGTCCCTTTCGTGATCAAACATGGCCACTTCTCACCTCTCTGGACTGGACGCACGTTTTGCGGACGCCCGAGAACTGAAAGCACCAGCTGAGGTCCTTTTCGTTCCGCTTTGGGGCAGTCATATTCAGCACAACGAAGCACATCATGAAAGTGTAGAAGAATTCAGAAAGGCCTGCGAGCGCCACGAGCGCGCCACGCGTGCGCCAGCTGACTCAGCTACTTTGACATAGCTTGTGTAAATGTTCGCCGGAAAACGGTCAGGAAGCTCTCTATACCTTTATGCCTTCGTTTGTCTTGATGCTGCCTCCGGCTCTCTGGTTCCGTCTTGCTCTTGCCCTCTGTGGAACGACAGATGGTTGCATTTGTGGATTAATGTGTTCACAGTCAAAAAAACGCTTCACGGTTCGCATGTGCGGGCGCACCTATTCCAAGAAAACCACGCTTCAGGAAGTTTCCAATGGGAAGGCCCTTCCCTAACCTCAAAATCAACTGCCAGGATCTGCCAGGCAACGTTCAATCACATCTTCACATTTTCCCGGTTTTGACACGTTGGCATTCAAAGAACCCAAAGAGGGCCCAACGGCCGCACTCTCATATATCAATATCGGTCGTCCCTTCGGGTCCCCTTTGGCACCTCTTTCGCATCCGGGGACCCCCGAAGTCCCTCCTGGTCGCTTGGGATTGCTGGTCCAACGGGGTCGATCTGTTTTCAGTTGAGTGTCGATATGTTTGCAAGGCCAGCGCCACAGGTCGCGCCCAAAACCTGTGCAAGCCAGAAAGTCCAGACCTGCGCAGGGTTTCGGCAGGACGGTCAAACAGACTTCGTCGGTGGACTGAACTGGGAAGGACGGGGACCGCTTGAGACCCGCTTTGTTCGTGGCTGTTGTGTTCATGTCGATCAAATGGACCTCAACAATGTCTCTCAGACCCCTCATGTGGACAAATCACGGAATCTCAATCAGAAGACAAACAAATCCTTCATCTTTGGAAAAGGAGCTCAAGTCCGACATTCAAGTTTTGAAAGGAGGTAATCCAGGTCCGCATTCAAGTTCAAAGCGTGTCACGGAAAAAGTATGAAAAAGTATGAAAGAGTCCTGAAAACTCACTCAATCCGGACACTCTGATGAGCTTTGCGTCTGTGATGGTCTGTCATGGTCTGCATGTGTCGACTCACGCACACATCAACTACAATGCAACTACAAAGCCCCGAAAGCCCTCAATGTGTCCGCACAGTGTATGACACCTTTGCTAAGAAGCTACTAGTTTACTAGGTGGCATCGCTATTAGGTTGGAGGCCATCGCTACTAGGAACAAGAAGCTACTAGTAACAACGGCTCGTTTTTTCGTTTTTAAAAGCGGGTTCTTCTCAGTTGAATCATCTCATGTAGTGGGCAAGACAAATGCTTCACACAGCGCAGCGACGCCTGCCGCCACTCCATTCCATGCCCGTTAAGGCATTTGACTCTTCTCAGGGCGAAGGTTACAGCCTTTGGTCCCGCAAAGTGTCGGCGTCAGAAGTTGTAGAAACCCACAAAGTCTTTGATACTAGTGAGCACCAGTGGGACAGAAAAGCACACTCGGATTATGAATATACTGTATGTATATGTATATATATATACAAATTTGCAGGGACATACACATAATATTGTATTATTATTGTCTTTTACATAATATTATTGAATTATATTATTACTGAATTTTAATGACGGCAGTAACGGGTCACTCCTACATTGGAAAAGTAACACTTGCAAGTTCTGAACAGCCCTATTAGCCTATTATCATATATATATATTATATGTGTGTATGTTATTATATATGTGCTTGTATGTGCTTGTTTCACATTTTCTTACTGGCACTGCTGCAATGGCTCGGAAACAACAAAAACAGGTCAACTGAAGTAGTAGTAGTAGTAGTAGTCGTCTCTCGAACGCAATATTGCCGAGAAGCGGGGTTGAAGTAACCTCCTGAAATGGGACCTAATGTCCTGAGTGCAAACAGTGTCAGTTGACTGTGCTTGTTTCACAGCCGTCACAGCCAGCGACACTCCCCGGACACACGCCATAAACAAACACCACCATTCAGGTGTTTCTTGCTGCGCCTACCCGTTTTTAGCAAGACTACCTGTGTGGTAGATATTGATTCATCTACTGCATATATATATATATATATGAGACTTGAAGCCCCCAGCGGCAAAGACACACTTACGATCACTTACGTATCTTGGCTTACTACTTTGACAGCTGAAGAGGCCTTATTTCACAGTAACTCCACCCAGGCTTGGCGTTTGGCTGACGCTTGGACTTCTAAATATGTCTGGCAGATTTCTTTGATTTGGGGGTGCAGATTGAACGTGCCTCGCCCCAACAAGAGAATCAAAGCAGAATTGGACACAAACACACAGATCTGTTCAGAGGTCCAAAATGTAATTGTCTTAAAGAGATTGCGCATGTGCATACCATGTTTGCATAAATGCTGAGTTTGGTGGCCACCATAGCCGGTGATGCGCGTGGTCACTAGGTACCCACACTGTGCGAGGATAGCTAGTGCTGATGCATTCACCAGGCCGTAGAAGAGCGGGGGGCCGGTGAGTTGGCTGTACACGACCTCAGTGCGACCACCGTGACGGTCACGGTCACGGTCACTCGAGTGGAGAACATCTGACTCTACAGACCTCGGGGCCCTTGGACCGGCTGGTTTTTCACAGGCTCGGCTGGTGAGAGAGGTCCGCCGTCCAAGGCGCTGTGAAGCCAAGCAAAAAGGTGCCCAGGAACTCACAGAAGCATTTGCTCGAAAGCTGCATGGACGCCATCTCCTCAGGCAGGGAAGCTGCTTCTGAAGCCTACCGCCCCCACCACCTGGTCACCTACAAAGAAAAGGCGCGGCGTCCCATTGTCCCACATCGTCAGTCACTCAAGAAACATCATCAAATCAAATTTGCTGTAAATAAGTTTAGATCCTTCCTCAGCAGAGTTGCTTATTGAATCATTGCTCTGGTTTTGCAAAAGAAGGGCTTGTGAAACTGTGAAATCATGTGAAATCTTTCAATATTAAAACATCAGAACATAAAACGGTATTAGAGCTTCCTTCTTCAGAATTTTCTGTAAATGATCTGCACTCAAAAAGCGTGGTGCCCATTGCCAAGTCTTGGAAACATCGATCAACCAGTTGTGTCGACACCAATGACAGCCCACGCCCCACGCGACAAAAAAGCTCAGCCAAAAACGGATCTAGGATCCCCACAAGGTCCTCATTGGCACGATTTAATTCGGTAAGCGCACTTGAGCCATCTTTGATGGCTAGTTTGGACGAGTTGATTAGCTCCAGTAGTTGTGAATCTGAAGAAAGCATGCTCAAACGACACAGGTTGTGTTCATATTCTTCGGACAATGCCAGAGTGCCTACAGGTTGATAAACATGGAAAAGGACCTCTACGCAGCGTAGTGTTCTTTTAGACATTTTCTTGGTGGGGCATAATCCAAAACATTCCACCGGCCTTTCAAACCCTATGCCCGCATGATGGAGTCAAGCCAAATACTGTATATAACTGCGCCATCATTGAGGCAAGCTTGCCTTGAAGATATGTCGGAGTAGCCTGTCGAGAGAAGGACAGGTTGGACCATCCAATTTCTCATATCAATGTGACATACATGGATTCTGACATGATATGTCGATATATTCTGTACACAGACCTCACAGCTATTTGCCTTGTTTGCCTCGTGGCTCCTTGTTCTAGAGACAAACTGCAGGCCTCGGCTTTGCACTGGAGCTCCCTGTGCTTCCACCTGAGAACAAAGCTCAACATGTTTAGTGAAACCTCAAGTCTTCTCACTTCAAATGTCATGTCAAGTCATCTGAACTCTCCGTCAACGGAAGCACATTCACAGGATGGCGAGCGTCTCATCAGATGACCAGTTTTCTCGGTTTCGATGGGTGGAAGCCCCACACGCCTTGGGTGGTCGCACGATGACTCCATCCACGAGCCGCACACCTCGGCGACGTCCACGCTCCCCACGGATCGGCCGACGGGACGCGAAAAGCCATCGTTGCGCTGCCGATGGCTTGAGCGTTCTGAACGAGGTGTATAAAGATGTACAAGGTTTCAACTCATGTATAACATGATATAACAATATATAAAACATGTCCCTTGCATGATCATTTTCTACAAACAAATGGCTTTCCACTGCCATGATTCCAGGGTGTGTATATTGGCCAATGGTCGCAAGGAACTGGACAGTTGAACAATTTCTCGAGACCAAACATGCTGAGGCCATGCAATGAGTGCCCTGCCCTCAGAGAGAGGCACAGCCTGCAGCTTGGCCACTGCAAAGCATGACATGGGGACATGGGGTTGCTTTTGAAATGAGGGGACCGCGCAGTAGCGAAAAGGGAAGTGAGCCTTGAAATCACTGCTTCGGAGTCTCCTCATTTTTGAGAGGAAGTCACATGACAGCGACATTGTGGTCATCCTCAGACAGAACCCCCAACGACCAGTTCGCTATTGCAGTGTGGGCGGCTTTTGGTCACCCTCTTTCGGCGTTCGCCTCTTGGTCACCAGGATGTCCTTTGTGGCGCTCTTGGTGTGCCCACTGGTCGTCATGGTCCAACTGGGTGAACTGTCTGGATTTGATCGGCAACGAACCTCGAATCCAAAAACGAACCAGTTGGATTCCTGGTGAAATGGCTCTGTGGCTCTGTGGTTGGTTCCTTGGTGATGGTTCGCAGCTCCACATGTGGGACATCTCTGACATACAAACACATCCGACACATCTATACCTGTGGGAATCAAGAAGCAATTGCGTACTGTATTCTTTTTTGCATAGCTTTTAAATGTGAGAAAAAGACACAGTGCCTTTCCTTGCTACTTCTCACACACGAAGGAAATGGCATGGGCATGGACATAAACCAGCCACTACCTCCAACAAATCCACATCGTACAAAGAGCGCCTTGAGCTGTGTGCAAACCCGGCGCATCGTGCTTAAATCCTCAGGATGGGGGCCCCGGAGCACGGAAGCGGAGCCAGCATGGCGGTGGATGCGAGGCGTCTGACCGATGGTTTTTTCTGAGGCGAAGCACCACGGAGTCGGGGCAAACCTCGGCCAACTTTGAGAAACACCGACTCCGTGTCATGCTTTCTGCTAATTTTTGTCTTTTCTTTTTTTGCAGGCTTTAAAACCCAACAATGACTAATCAGGCAACTACTGGTAAGCTAGGTGCTTCTTTGAATGACCTGAACCTAGACATCTGGATATGGAGCTGCAAACTTTGCATCTGCAAGTGTAGGACCTACGGATCGGTCAAAGGTCAGCACAAAAACATCAGCATCCTCAACAAAGCCACCTGGAGAGGCGGATTCAGCAGCGGTTTCAGCGGTTTCCGTGTGTCACATGGCACATGGCAATTCGTACGAGAATCAGTAGCCAAAGCAGCCATTCACAACTGATTTCTTACATAGCGCTTACACAAGTGGCACCAAGTCAGTCGACGCCTTGGCTCAACGAAGAACGGTTTTTGCAGAACGTCGACGCATGGCACCCGGTCGGTGTCTGTGCGCGGACCGGGTCGTTAATTCTCGCAAACCAGCCAGCGACACATAGTCGCAGTGATGCCAAACAGGAGGGGTGTTTCAGCTTCTCCTGCGGCCGAAGCTAAGGAGGGGCGTGAAGGGTAGCTGAAAGACTCATCATCGCCATAGCTGCTCAAGATCCGTTTGACTCCTCAACTTCCCTTTCAAAGTTATGACACATACCCCACCTTGACCACGGCGTTTTCCTTTCTCAAGCTCCGGAACTTCGCATTCTTGGGCTGGGACAGAATCTAGGCAATGTGTTAAGCAAAATCGGTGCTTGCAGGTAGGATGCACCAAGCTTATAGAAAGCTATACCCAACAGAAATCGAAAACGACTACCTGAGCACTTGCAGTACTGTTATCCAATCCATTTTCTAATGGCAACAAAAGCCAAAGAAACGTCTTGACTCACGGAAGAGTCAATAAGCTCCTGGCATTGTCGAAAATTTTTGTTAACGTGCGAACAGCTTCGGAAAATTCCTCTGGCCTCAGAGTGGGAAAAATCGATAAGGCTGTCAAAACAAAATGGGTCAAGATGACGATTTGCTGGACCTCTTGTACAGCAGCGATCGACACATTTCAATGCATTTGATGCGATATATAATTTGTGATAATGTGGCGCAGTCATAGTCATGTTGAAAGGGCTAGAAGAAAGGAACACTATGTTCTGGTGTGTCTTGAATGGATGAACTCCTACACACATGTGACTTTTGTGACATATATCATGTATCTGCCGGCCAAAACGAAGGAAAAAGGCAGTCGCCTGCAACATGTCTAAGGCTACGTACCTAGCAAGGTTTCCTGGTGCGTGCTGGGAATGGGTAACTGCTCGGATATCCCTCAAGTTTTCTGGCCTCAAGCTCGACTGTGCCTCCGCCAAAGCTTTCTTCACCGCAGCCTTACCGCTTGATTCATGGCAGGATTTGATATCTACATATAACATATATCATATATCATCATATATCTACAAAAACTAGGAAAACACTCAAACACAAAAGAACAAATAACACCGACAATGTCCACAGGTCTCTGTGTGTGTCCTTTGCATTCCTTGTTCCCCACTGTTTTCAGTTCTTGTTGGTGCGTGTGTTGAGGATCTGTGCTTGATCACAGAACATCACCGATCAAAGAGATCCGTGTAAGGAAAAACTGACGAGGTGAAAAGATGTTTTCAAGGAAGATGTGGTGCAGCGCAGCTCACAGCCGGATTTCTTTCTGACAACGCTTGGCAAGTGGGATGCTCTGCACTATCCTGGGTTCCGGGAGCGGACGTTTGCTCAACCCTGGTCGGACCAGCCTCTAAGTCCACGCATGGGTGTTGGTCTTCGAAGCGGTGATGCACACATACCACCTGCATGACATGACACAAAGCGAAGTGACGTGAGGTGGCCCGACAGCCATCAAACCACCACAACAGGTGTTTCCGGTGACGCTGTTGTTGATCCCTTGCCTGGCCACACCTTGCACACTGCAGGCCGTTGTGCACCTCAGAACCCCCTTCCGGCATGTCGCATCATGTCCCATGATGTTCGTTGCATCGATCAAAAGAGCAACCATCCTTGCCGCATCTTGCCCCTTGTTTCAGGACGAAACACACGTCAAGAACTGTAAGCAAGCTAGTGGTTTGATCACACCCGTATGGGACCTCAATCTACAATCTCAACAGTAATCTCAACCCCAAAGCAAAAAGAATTTCACGGTTTGAGACGGATGCACGACTGGTAAAGCAGGTCATGGGAATATGTGGGGACCTCACCTCATATCTATTCATGCCTGTTCCAAAGTAAATAGTGTTTGTCCTTCCTATTGCTAACTGACCCAACACATGACAAGGCTTACGCAGCCGCTTGCGCCAACCTTCCGCCAAGTTAAGTGTTTGGGCATGAGTTTCCGCTGATCTTACGCAATATCAGCTACCAAGCAGTTCTTCAAGATTTGCCTCTGCCCACACGGGGTCTGACACAAACAAATTGTTTGGATGCTTCCTTTTTTGGCCAACTGCTTGTTTACGAAAGGACGCCCAAAACAGCTGATGCCCACCGTGGCACTTCAGGCTTTGGTTTGATGCCATGATGGGGAAATTGTCCTAGCATGAAACAAGTAATACTGTATGCATTGATCACATGCCACTTGTTGGATCACACGAACCAGTTCAAACACTATGGGGCGTGATTTGGACGTTCTATTTGGCATCTGCAGCGTTCTATCTGATACTGGCACTCCATCTGGCATACTTTCTGACATTCTATCTGACATATACACTGGCATTCTATCTCGCTCGAGGTCCGGTGGTGCCCACTGCGATCTGGCGCTCGTGGTTCAGGTCGAACTGGAAGGAGGAGGCAAAAAGAAGGAGGAGGAGGAAACTTTGATAAGATCTAACAACCTCACCTGGCAGGTGGGAAAGCCAATAGGCTAAAACCGTATCACCAGCACCGCGGCTTCTTAAAGGAAGAGTCCCAAGCTGTTTTCTGCAAGCAGTGGAAGCGACACTTAAGCAGCCACTGCGTTGCCATCATTATAGTGTTTCGTTTTTCTTATTCCTCTTTGTGATGTGGTGAAACAGTGAAAAGGCAGCCTGTTGCAACAAGCCAGCACCACGATTTCCCCCATACTGTACATGCATGTACATCAGGGTACGTAGCATCATGCCTTTTCTATATCCGTTGATTACATACACACATACATGTGCAGCGGCATGTATTTGTTACTGAACTCACATGCACTATCTATTACGCAGGGGCCCTATCTCGTTTGGACTGCTTCAGCAGGAGGTCATGCCACAGTATCTCATTCAGACCACCTCAGTAGCAAAACTTATGTCATCCCTCGATCGCTGTCATCAACAAGTATCTAAACGCTATGTGGGCGCCCTATCTCGTTCACATGCAAATACTGATGTTGGACAAACAAATAGAGCATGCTGTAGACTACTTTAGTCAAGACCAAATAAAAGTGGTTGCACAATGTTGCACATATAGACATGCACCCTTGCGCACCCTTGCGCGCAAAAGGTGCTTCCACAAAGTTTTGTGCACCGAAAATTGCTATCCACAGCACGGAACCGTTGTGGTGGTCATGGTCGGGGGTGATCTTCTTCTGAGTGTCTCAGGTGCTGCACAATGTCCAACAAACCATATTGAATGTGTCTGAGAAACCTCTTCTTGGCCCCAGAAAGCACAAAGAACTGGCATCCTTTTCCACGGCAAATTGCAGGCTTATGCTGATCCAACTGCCACTTTTGCGCTCAGAAGGTTCAATATATAATATAACTTTAAAGACTAAATGAAGCAATAGTGGGACTAGCATCGAGTGAACTGGAAGATCCATGAAAGGCAGCAAACCAAAGGGCTGCACACCATCTGCCCAAGTTGGTCGCTAGTTGGACTCACAGGCTCTGCTCGATGATTTCAATGCAACGTCCAATACTCTCACCACGTGACATCGCATCCACCAGCGCAGCATGGGCTTTTTGCTTTTCTTTGAGGATTGCCACCGTGTTCCTGACTGGGCGGAGATGTCAACTTTCCGACAACTCCCTCCCCCCGAAATTGGCCCTGCGACCCGCGACTTTGGACGGCATGGTGCGACCTTCCAACAAACCATGGCCGCGGCCCGCCGCTTTGGGGGAATCAGTGGCAGTATCGGCCGAGGATCATCACGCTGGTCCGCAGCTGCACATTTGTCTGCTGTTGGTCAAACTTCAAAGCTTCGAAAAGAGCCTCGCAAGTTTGAGGTGTTCAGAACTCAGACTCTCAGACTCCTGAGTTCCCAAGTCGCCAAGTCAACTGCAGGGTCCAACCAACTATCTAAAACACCGGACAAAGAGGACTCAACACGTCTCAACACTCACACGTTCCACATATTTCTGAGCTGCCACTGGGCCTCCAGTTGTATGAGATCTGACATGCCACCATTTGCTTGGCCGAAGGTCACATACTCTGCAGCAATACCCCCAAGAGCAACCTTAGGCGGCATTCCAAGCGATTGACCAACGGCCAGCGCTAGTTCTGGCTGGGTGGACTCCCACGCGCGGGGCCCATCCGGTGGCGAGATCGAGAACATCTAACGATCTCAGTGCGGCGCATGATTTCTGGACAACGTGGGCCAAATCATGCCAAATCCATGTTGTGTTGATGTTTTTGAAAAGCCTGAGCCCTGGGTTTTCTGGATGTCTTGGGATGCCTTGGTGGTCTCGTATCATTAGGCGAACCAGTCATAGAGTGAATTCAAGGCCCAATGCCCAATGAGGCGTAGCAAACCGCTGGCTAAACCTGACAAATCCAAGTGCAAGCAAGGTGCACAAACAAAGTTGTCCTTGACTGGCTGTCTTTGAGAGGCGGCATTCACTCAATGCAATCAGGGATGTCAGTTCTAGGAGTTTTGGACACGGTAGTGTGAGAGCACCATGTTCTTCCAATTTAGGTCCTCGCTCCCCAAGCTTAAATCACCCAATCAACCAGGAATTACACACCCAATCAACCAAGTAGAAGTCATCTCCATGTCAGGTCTTCTAATCATTATCTAATCCCATAGTCTACCGCCAGAGTCCTGTGTTGAGGACCTGATTGCGGAAATCTATGGAAGATGTAAATAGAACCAAAACGAGAACCAAGAGGTGACTCTTAGAACAAAAAAGTGCGCGCACACCCACAAAACTCGGGGGTTGACCCTGGACTCTCTTTCTCTCTCTCTCTCTCTGTCTGTCTCTGTCTCTCTGTCTCTCTGTCTGTCTGTCTGTCTTTCTGTCTTTCTTTCTGTCTTTCTTTCTTTCTCCCTCTCTCTCTTTCTCCCTTCTTGGTCGATCAACGCATCCTCCAAGGTGCCAGGGTCTTCCCCGAGACTTGCCCTGACTGCATCTCGCTCTGGATGGCCTGAAGACTCGTTATTTTTTGTTTCTTTTTTTTCCGATGTCCGCAGTCCGCAGTGTTAGTTCTTTTTAATCATTGTGATCTTTGCGTCGTGTTTCGTCTCTTGCGTGAGAGACCACACCCCCGGGACTCGTACAGGGTGTAGCAGTGAAGTTGCCAAAGTTGCAGCTCCGATTCGTACCTCACACGGACTCCGAAGCCCGCCTGGTCCAGGAAAACGGTGCCCGCCTGGACTGACATGGAATTGTACTTGGAGAAGGCCTCCCATGCACTCAGCGTATAGGCCTTGCCAGGTGTGACGTTGACACCTGAATGTGTCCCGTCAGATCACTGTGACATCTTCCAAGGGAATTGGGAACTGAAACACCAAGTACAAGGGCACTAAATGTTCATCTCATCTGAGTGAACCAGTGCACGTCCGTTCGTCCGTTCCCCTGCCCAGACCCGATCCAAAACTCTTTTTCAAGGCCATCACGACATGGCAATAGCCTCACATAAGTGCTCGCAGGTTCGCAGCACCCAAGCCAAGACCCAGTCTCAGTATCCTACTGTTGAAGGAAGACATCTGTACTCTTTTTTTCATGCGACTTCGACATCCAGCGGGTGCAGGATGTCTTCCTTCACCAATACGTTTTTCGTTGATCTGCACGTTGTTTCCTTCCTCCGCGCCTTGGGAAGGATACCCAAAAGGTAGGCAACCAGGAAGTGACCAGCCTCATGACATGCCACCCTCGCCGGATAGTCTTTGCTCACTGCACGGCCCAGAGAGTCCAAAAGCAGCAGTTCACCTCAGTGAAGCTTCGAGAAGACAAGCTTGGAGCTTTTTTTAGAAAACATCAAGTGGAAATCATGAAAATCCAAACTTTCTAAATATACAAGTACCATGCTCACACCCGTGAAATCTGGCCTGATACAGTAGACTGTTCTGATTTGATGCTACAGTTCTGAGGGTATGGCCGAATCCTCTGTTGATCACCTGAAACCAGCCAGCATGACGCTTAACTCAGCATTTCAGCATCAAATTCGACCAAAAAAAGGCCTCCAAAGGCCGCAGCCAAACGAAGTCGAAGGAGGCCGCGATTGGCCGTCGTGGACAAATCTCATGCTCGTGGATGACAGCTATGGATGACTATGGATGGCATGCTGTGGATTCAGAAGACCTCAGGCCACGATGTCATCAAACTGATTCCATGAAATCATCCAGGGAAGTGGATGGCATGGCCCCTTGGATGACAAGTTTCTTCCGCCAAACAGGTGGTTTTTTCCACTTCCATGATTATTTCAGGGAGTGTAGACCCATTCCAAATCATTCCTGCGCCACCCTCCTCACAACCGCCAAAAAAACGAAGGACGTGCTTGTGCCCTCCCTTCCGGTCGGTCGCTCTTGATGAGCTAGCTCTAGCGTTCTCAAATGTTCTCAACGCCGCCTGATCCACAAAGAGCACGCTGAGGCCCAGCAAGTCATGAAAAGCACCACGCCCGGCCCAGGCTTGGCGGCCAAGATGAAGACGGAGCCCCCCAAGGCCACGACTGGCGGGATATCCGACCAATTGGTGGGAACGAACCCCCAAAGGAACCTCCAGGGTCCGAATGTTAGGACCGCACGGATTCTTGG